AAATACATTTAAACGACATTGTTATCATTGACATCGTGTGATAACTACGTCAAATTGCGCATGTCAAAGTCTAATTGTTCGTTGATACTGGAGGAACCACTTTTAAAGTTGAGGTGACACAGAAACTAGGACTAGGTATGATAATGCTGTTCGACTGCACTGTCAATGCGGGAAAGGCTTATCTATGGTCGTGATTTCTAATACCAAGAGTCCGAACGAAGCGGGAAACGGACAAGGCAGACAGCGATCCTTTGGAAGCCTGCTTCAGTGTTAACAACATTGACATGTGGCAATGTCGAGGAGAAGCCTCGTTATGATTTTTAAATATGCTCTCAAACCAGTGCTTCATGATGGAATAGACAATTTCTCGTTTGAAAATCCCAAAGGAGAGTCAAACGTGACTTTCGCATTGTTTTATTACTCACTTTTGGTTCAAATAGTATATTTACATTTGTGCTGCAATGTCTTCTACCAACACGACCAACTTCAACAGGTTGGAGACAATGCCATGTGTGTTACGGCACGAAATGAAAAGAAACAAAAGTGATGATTTGAAGGATGAGATTTCTGTTTTGACGACTGGTGGAGTATCTGCTGATAGAATTTCGGGGGATAGGTTGTTCTTATCGCGGAATGTCCGGGAGAAAGAATGATTCTTTCCTCACGGACGTTCTATATGAGACAGATTGGAAAGCATTTCCAATGTCACTAAGTATATAAAATTTAGGGTCACACTTTTATGAACAGAATTCGTTTATACATTCATCCCATAACGAATCTGAACAAACAAGCACACCCACACATACATAACTGAATCGTTTAGATAAGGTAATACAAAGGGCTGTGATTGTACGGTACAATAAGACATTAATCGCCTGATGTGTTGTTGGTTTTAAACTCTAGTGTTTCAATGTGACCGATGGGACAGTGATTGGATGATAACCTTCGATATCAGCATATACCGTCATAAAGTGTATGGCAAATAATCACAGTCACGCATATTTTCTTGGCTGAAGCACACCAGAAGTACGTCATTGATACGCATGCGTGTAGGTAGTTCGACCATTTAGGCTTTACATATGCCGTGAAAGCGACATGCATATGCCTACAACTACATCTTAATGAAGCTGATTACGGACTCTTGCCGTTGTATGAGTGCTAAACGTTAAAGTAAAAATAATAAGCTGTATATCGCTTACGATATTAAAGAATTTGAATAACATGTCCTAGTGGACCATGAGCAAACAGGAAAGTGCGTAAACGCCTAATTAATTGTTTTGTTAACAAAGCGACGAACAATTGCGTTGATCAGTTCCACATTCTCCCTATTATATAAGGATATTTATTTGTAATCCTTATAAAAGTACGTGTAAGCGGTCTGGCCCCTCACGCCCACCTGTTAGATGTCAGATAACACAATGATACCAGTTACAGGAACTTGAATCCTTCTCAGTGTCACTCTTAGGTGTAACGATACTATGTCCAACTGATGTTGCGCCACTATTGATGGATCCGCGATGTCAACGTTTCGTCAATCTCTCCATACGATATGTAATGAACCGGAAGTAGAAATAACTGCTATAAAAACTGCGTATTTATGTGTGCGATGTATTTTCTTTCTCTTGGCCGTCCCTAATTGATTTGCTCTTAACAACTATCTTATGACCAATTTCCGATAAGGACTACTTAAGTATTTATATGTGGTTCTGTTCAGTCCAACCTATGTAAAAATATAATTGTGATTTTAATGAATATATATATATATACCTACTATATACCTACCGGTTTTGGACATACAGCGATGTTGGAGATATTTAGGATACCTCGAACCACGATAGTCAGAGAAAGATAGTACTAACGGGATTCCCAAACCACGATAGTCAGAGAAAGAGAGTACTAACGGGAATACCAAACCACGATAGTCAGAGAAAGAGAGTACTAACGGGAATACCAAACCACGATAGTCAGAGAAAGAGAGTACTAACGGGAATACCAAACCACGATAGTCAGAGAAAGAGAGTACTAACGGGAATACCAAACCACGATAGTCAGAGAAAGAGAGTACTAACGGGAATCCCAAACCACGATAGTCAGAGAAAGAGAGTACTAACGGGATTCCCGAACCTCTCATATGACAAGGTTAACCAGCTCAGATTTAATCCGCCATTTTGGATATCGGATCATTATTGCATACATCCCACATTACCACGTGTTAGCCTGGTTACCATGTAAACATCAATGGAATTGACTTTACACAGTGGGAAAGCACTGACCACTGACCGCGGTCACCCTATAATGAGACCTGGACGATAGCACGATCTCATCAGACGCTAAATGTACAGTACGGGGAGGGCTTAGTTATTATCTTGATGATTAAAGAAGGGCAGGATTTATTACTGTTGATTAATAAGTCACCACTAAATTAGTTCTTTTTCAATAATGTTTACCACATTACTCTAATATCTGTATAACATATTTATTAGAAACAGGAACAATCGAATATTATGTTTCTCAAATATCGTACAATTGCTCATTGTCATTGTACGTGTCGGATATTACTAATAAACTAAGTAATGCTGACATGAGGAACATTTAACAGAAAATAATAAGACGTGAATTTATCTTCTTCCTAAAATGGTCTATTTATTAAAAAGGCGAATGTTTGAATTGGTTTAGTTTGTTTGTGTTTTACGTCCTATTAACAGCTGTGGTCATTTAAGGACGTGCCAGGTTTTGGTGGTGGAGGAAAGCCGGAACACCCGGAGAAAACCACCGACCTACGGCTAGTACTTGGCGACTGCCCCACGTTGTTCTCGAACCCGCGACCCAGTGGTGAAGGGCTAGTGGAAGCAGAATGTCAAAAGTTTTAAAACATAATAGAAATATGTCAATGTTTTACATGAACATCCTGATAAGTCATTGCTTAATCAGCCCTTTTGCAATCACTGGTTTGTAGAATTGTTTTTAATATGATCACAAAAGGCAATTTTACGTAGAAGCGACCAATTCATAGGGAACTTGATAGGAGCGATCGTAAGACAGTTGTGTTTCTACTGCAAATATTGTGAGAATATCATCGCCGGAAATATGAATATGAGCCAATCTAAACGGTAGGATTTAGTAGACTTGACATGTCGCTGTGATTTTTGAAGAAAACATCTGGGATTCTGTGTCATATGCAGTTCACATACAGCGCTGGTTGCTCTGAGTCACAGAGTTTATTTGTTAGTGTATAGTCATTCTAAGAGAATTAAATTATGACTCATAACCGAGTAAAAAAAAATTCACTGACGGTTTATATGTAAACACTGGTACGTGCTCGGGTTTTTTTCTCTCTATATATATAATACGGAAAAAGAGAATCCTGCAAGCAAACAATGTCTCTTAACATTCATTTTCAAATGTGCATTGTATTAGTGGGTTTTTTTAAGGATTAAAAAAGGATTAATTATACAAAGGAAAGAATTATGAATTTATTTTGTAATGCATGACAGGTAGGTGCTATCTATAGGCTGTTTCAGGTAGTTTCGTCGAGCATTTCATCCTATTAATCATTTCGCTATCCGAAATATCATCTCTGATACTGTGTTCATGACTTCTACTGTTACAGTGACAGAGAAACAATGTGACCGGGCAGAATAGCCATGATTCACCATATATCGACATTAACACATTATCATTGGACGGACATTATTTCCCGCCATTAATGCCGATAAGATACAGGGAGGGTGGGGTTCATTCTCATTAATCGATCTTTTCCAAGTAAGGAGAAGATTTGTTAGCTTCAAATCTAATGAAAACAACCGGAATTTCCGACAATTGACGGAGTCTGGGTGAGCCCAATGCTCACCGGAAGCGGCTGAGATTGCAGAGCATTTGTCACATTAGGATTAAGCGTTTAATTGACTTAGATGCGGAGCAGAGAAGGAGCGAACACTAAGAATAGCATTTCTATTTTCCGTCAATATGTTTTCTTAGCTATAATCGTTTCTCTGCTAATTATGTTATATGCCAAATGGAAATGCATGAAAAGAGCGACGCCTCTGATTTTTTTATTTGAAGTGTTGAAAGTTTTTTTTAGTTTTATTTAATGGTGTTCAAACTTTTTTCCTTTTACATACCGAATCCAGTAGTGGTTGCTGAGTTGCAGAACGAATGTAATACCGGCCTTGCGATCAATTCGATGAACACGACAAGACCGCGTCAGACTATGATTGCGAGAGCATGGTCACGTGATAGTTATTGTTTTCATCATCTGAAATCGGACGCGATAAGAGACATTGCAACATTTCTAACATACATGACTTACATGTGTGAAGCATCATGGAAAGGCACGAAAGCTAGCACAGAAACTATGTCCACTAATTGATATTCTCGGCTAAAATATATTGTTATATAAAATGAAAAAAGAAACCGTCTGACGAAATTATATTGATTGTTAATTGTTAGTATCGATCATAACAGCTACGGTACGATCACCGAGGCCAAAAAACGCACGGTGAAAATTGAGTTATTAGCAAAAGCCATTTGAATCATTTGATAGCGAATGCCAATTTCAGATGTGTATTTCCTAGCCGTTATGCCTCACATTTTGACCCCGTCACCGTTGCCGTATTCAGCACTGATGGACATGTCGTGTCTTTATTACAACGCCTTTACTTTCGACACGATAACAAAAGTTGATAAATACATGCAGCAAAAACAGACACAAAAATAAAGTTCGCCTAAGCTATTGTAATAACTGAATTTACCTTATGAGTGCGTGGCAAATGATAACAATGTTGCCGGTTTGTTTTCATAGATACTTTATTGTTCAAAAGAAAAGAAAAGAAGTTTCAAAACGGAATGGGTATATTCAAAAGCAAAAAAAGATTATGATTACTTTGTAAAATAGTTCCTGGAGCTGAGAAAGGTAGTTTTTCATTGATTATAAAATCACATGATAGGTAATGTGATATTGAAGCTATATTTAGATTGTCCTCTATCATTAGTCGTTCAGGATGCTTTTCAACAGCACCGTAAGACCAGATTAACAGCGGGATTATTTGATTCCATTATGCCAGTAATATAGACACTAATTGTTAAGTTGGCCCCGTACAGAATGTATACCGAATGTGGAAGTTAGAATAGTATTATTTCGGGTTGTACGTACATGAGAATCTGTAACCGTGTTTGCGCAGAAATTAAGTTTGACCAACGTATTTGTGTAAACATGTATTTCCAGCTTTCATCCTTACTTTCTTGTTTTACAGATGCGGTACATGCTCTTTTTCGGCTTCCTTTCATGGCTGGTCCTTATTGATATAGAGCATACACTAGGTGAGTTATCACAATCGACTTTCATTCATTTTGTTATTGGTAAACTAGTATTGTGGCTACTCATGTAGTTTGGGGTACTGTGTTGTAGTTTGAAGTAAATTGTAATGTATTAACGGTATATTGTATTATAGTTTGGGGTATAATGTTGTAGTTTAAATATTGTATTGTAGTTTAGGGTATAATGTTGTAGTTCGAAGTACATTGTAATGTATTAACGGTATATTGTATTATAGTTTAAGGTATAATGTTGTAGTTCGAAGTACATTGTAATGTATCAAACATTCTTTTATATATTGTAATTTAAAACATAACATTCTTTTATCATTTTGTTTCCTTCCAAATATGAGATCAAATAAATAATGTAATGAGACGCATTTTAAAAAGACAAAATTAGAAAAGTTTCCAGGATAAAAATGAGCGTAAAAGTCATATTATAGATTGTATTACTTTAAATCGTAGTCCTGATCAAAATAGTACTGTGTTCAGTAGAGTTATAGCCCAAGAAACCAGCATTTTATACCAGTTTATACACTCGATTTATAAGACCATTTTAATCAGTTCGAAAAGATTGCTTATTAGATTTGGCTTATACGTGTGGCCTACAAGACGGTTTCACAAAAGTTAAAGGAGTTGGGAGTTGTCGTTGTTCTTTGATATGATTTTAAAATGTGTGAAGGTCCTATCTCGTGTGTCTTTCCGATCGTTTGATACGATCTACATGGGCACAAAATCGTGAATATTTGTATCAAGTTCCAGTTTTGTGACTTTTAACATTCCTCGATGCGTCTCTGCTGGTTTCATACGATTCGACAAAAATCCAAGTAAACACTACTAGCCGAACACGCTAACAATAATTTTAGGACGACCACGTGGTCAAGTGTACTTTATAGCTATTTTTCGAAATTCCAAAGCTGTGACAGATGTTTTTAGCGGATAAATCATGGTAATGAATTCATTATTACACTTCAAAGAGTTTGAAGCTATATAACTTTTTTTCAGGATCGACAACTACAACTACCATTCCTACTACAACTACCACACCGACTACAACGACAACTCCGACAACAACTACAACTCCGACTACAACGACAACTCCGACCACAACCACAACTCAAGCAACAACTACCACACCGACAACAACGACCACTCCAACCACAACAACAACTCCGACCACAACAACAACTCCGACCACCACTACAACTCTCCTCACCACTACAACTCCGACCACAACTACAACACCAACAACCACGACAACTCCGACCACAACAACAACTCCAACCACGACAACAACACCAACCACAACAACAACTCCAACAACAACTACAACTCCGACTACAACAACAACCCCGACCACAACCACAACTCCGACAACAACTACCACACCGACAACAACGACCACTCCAACCACAACAACAACTCCGACCACAACTACAACTCCTACCCCAACAACAACTCCGACCACCACTACAACTCCCACCACCACTACAACTCCGACCACAACTCCGACAACAACTACCACACCGACAACAACGACCACTCCGACCACAACCACAACTCCGACCACAACAAAAACTCCGACCACAACAACAACTCCGACCACCACTACAACTCCCACCACCACTACAACTCCGACCACAACTACAACAACAACTACAACTCCTACCACAACAACAACTCCAACCACGACAACAACTCCAACAACAACTACCACACCGACAACAACGACCACTCCAATCATAACAACAACTCCGACAACAACTACAACTCCGACCACAACAACAACTCCAACCACAACAACCACTCTTACAACAACGACGAGAACGACAACTCCAACAACCACTACAACACCAACAACAACGACCACTCCAACCACAACAACAACTCCGACTACAACTACAACTACAACTCTAACAACGACGACGACTCCGACAACAACAACTACAACTCCAACCACAACAACAACTCCAACCACGACAACAACTCCAACCACGACAACAACTCCAACAACGACAACAACTCCAACAACGACAACAACTCCAACAACGACAACTCCAACCACCACTACAACAACAACAACAACGACAACACCAACAACAACAATTCCAACCACGACAACAACTCTAACAACAACGACGACTCCGACAACAACGACAACTCCAACTACCACTACAACTCCAACAACCACTCCAACACCAACAACAACGACCACTCCGACCACAACAACAACTCCAACCACGACAACAACTCCGACAACAACAACTAATCCAACCACCACTACAATTCCGACCACCACTACAACACCAACAACAACGACAACTCCTACCACAACAACAACTCCAACAACGACAACAACTCCGAAAACAACAACCACTCCAACAACAACTTCAACACCGACAACAACAACTCCGACCACAACAACAACTCCGACAACAACCACAACTCCGACCACCACTACAACACCAACAACAACGACCACTCCGACCACAACAACAACTCCGACAACAACGACCACTCCAACAACTACTACAACACCAACAACAACGACAGCACCGACTACAACAACAACTCCAACAACAACGACAACACCGACTACCACTTCTACTCCAACGACCATTACAACACCAACAACCACTACAACACCAACAACCACTACAACTCCAACAACCACTCCAACTCCAACAACCACTACAACAACAACAACGACCACTCCGACCACAACAACAACAACTCCGACCACAACAACAACTCCGACCACAACAACAACAACTCCGACCACCACTACATTACCAACAACGACAACTCCGACAAAAACGACCAATCCAACCACGACAACAACTCCAGCAACGACAACAACTCCGACAACAACAACAACTCCAACAACAACGACCACTCCGACAACAACAACAACTCCGACCACTACTACAATTCCGACAACCACTACAACACCAACAACAACGACAACTCCGACCACAACAACAACTCCAACAACGACAACAACTCCGACAACAACCACTCCAACAACAACTTCAACACCGACAACAACAACTCCGACCACAACAACAACTCCGACCACAACCACAACTCCAACCACCACTACAATTCTGACCTCCACTACAACACCAACAACAACGACCACTCCGACCACAACAACAACTCCGACAACAACGACCACTCCAACAACTACTACAACACCAACAACAACGACAGCACCGACTACAACAACAATTCCAACCACGACAACAACGACAACACCGACTCCAACAACAACAACTCCGACAACAACAACAACTCCGACCACCACTACAACTCCAACCACCACTACAACACCAACAACAACGACCACTCCGACCACCACTACAACCACAGCAACAACGACGACACCGACCACAACAACAAATACAACCACCACATCAACTCTGACAACAACAACCGCTCCAACCACTACTACAACACCAACAACAACGACCACTCCAACAACAACGACGACTCCGACGACGACAACAACAACTCCTACATCAACGACCACTCCAACTCCGACTACCACTACAACCCCACGCACTACTACAACGCCAACAACAACGACAACACCAACCACAACAATTACTCCTACCACCACCACTACAACTCCAACAACCGCGACCACTCCTACAACGACAAGCACTCCAACCATAACTACGACTCCGACAACAACAACCACTCTTACTACCACTACAACACCAACAACAACGACCTCTCTGACCACAACAATAATTCCGACAACAACCACAACTCCGACCACAACAGCCATTCCAACCACCACTACAACAACGACCACTCCAATAACTACGACAACTCCTACCACAACAACAACTCCGACCACAACAACAACGACAACAACGACCACAACAACGACTCCGATCACAACCACAACTCCGACAACAACGACAACTCCAGCCACAACTACAACTCCAGTAACAACGACCACTCCGACCACAACAACAACTCAGACAACAACGACAACTCCAACCACAACTAATACTCCAACAACTACACCTACAACAACCACTTCTCCAACAACTACAACTACACCGACAACAACTTCTACTCCAACAACAACAACTACACCGACAACAACTACTACTCCAACAACAACTACTCCGACAACTACAACTACTCCGGCAACAACAACTACACCGACAACTACTACACCAACTACTACTACACCAACTACTACCACACCAACTACCACTACACCCACTACTACCACACCAACTACTACCACGCCAACTACAACAACACCAACTACTCCCACACCAACTACTACCACACCAACTACTACCACATCAACTACTACCACACCAACTACAACAACCCCAACTACTACCACACCAACTATTACTACACCAACTACTACCACACCAACTACTACCACGCCAACTACAACAACACCAACTACTACCACTCCAACTACTACCACACCAACTATTACTACACCAACTACTACCACACCAACAACAACCACACCCACTACTACCACACCAACTACTACCACATCAACTACTTCTACACCAACTACTACTACACCATCTACTACCACACCAACTACTACCACGCCAACTACAACAACACCAACTACTACTACACCATCTACTACCACACCAACTACTACCACATCAACTACTACCACACCAACTACAACAACCCCAACTACTACCACACCAACTACAACAACACCAACTACAACAACACCAACTACTACCACACCACTACACCGACAACAACAACTACTCCAACAACAACAACTACCCCGACAACAACTACTACTCAAACAACAACAACTACTCCGACAACAACAACTACATCGACAACAACTACTACTCCAACAACAAAAACTACACCGACAACAACAACGACCCCGACAACAACTACTACTCCAACATCAACAACTACTCCGGAAACAACAACTACACCGACAACAACAACTACTCCGACAACAACAACTACAGCGACAACAACTACGACCACCCCCGGTCCGACTACGACAACACCAGGTAAGTACACCCACGGATGTATTGTGTTTGCCTTGGGTTGTTTTGCTTGCGGTAGCCTAGTATGTGTCGTTTGCGATGCTGTTCTGTCATACTTACCTTCTTTTTTATTCTTATTTAAAATCAGGGTGAATTAAAACTTCTAAATTAGAGTTATTTAAATATTTTCAAAAGAGGAATATATCATTTACCTTGTATCAACCAATGGATGTATCGGTAGTATTGTTGTAAAACATTCACATTGTATGATAAAATGTGAAAAGAATAGCATTGGGAAGCCAGTTGTGAATTTAACACACGTCATTGAAGAAATTGATGGTATATAACGTACACTGTTAACACAAGTGTTATTTCTAGAAGAAAAAAAATATAGCACCATCATAAACAGTCTTGTTTCCGGTTAAGGTGTTTCCGATATAATCATGGTCAGACTTGTTTTCTGCTAAGTTATTTTCCACATAATCATGGACAGACTGACTTCCGGCTAAGGTGTTTTCGACATCACTAAGAGCAGCCTTATTTCCGGTTAGGATAACTACGACGCTATCATAAACAGGCATTTTTTTGTTTGTTAAGGCTTTTACGACATCATGATGAATAGTCTGGTTTCCGGTTAAGTAGATAATTTGACGCTATTATCAACAAAGTAGTTTCTGGTGATATTGACACCTTACGACACGTTACGAACAGCACTTTTGCTTGTTATACTTATTAGTGCTCACATTTGTTAAGCATTATAACGAACCTGAACACGCTTTCACATTCTTCGATGACAAAATCAGAATATTATAGAAAATAACACAAGTGACTAAAACTCCATTAGATATTATTGAAGGCGATGCCTCGGGTCACTCTTGTCTATGAAAAATGCTTTAGAATGACGCTGAAAAGTGTCTCAGTTAAATAAGACCATTGAGAAAGTGACGCACGGATGAGTCCTTGAAGGACAAAACAGCTGTATGATGGAGTGTAATAAATTTTGGCAAACTGTATATCGATTACTTCAGTTTTAAAGTACAATCACCTGTGTGGTGTATTACACTCCTCATTCAAGATGCAGATGCAAGATGGTAGGCTCTGCTGGTGAATGTCTTAGTCCCCGATGTTTGCCGTTACCTTGGTGGCCACTGTTATCTATTTTGAGTAATGGCAAAGTGCATAATATACACATTCTACCTTTTTTTTTAAGCCATGAATTAAGAGTGTCCATGTACCATCCCCTACGTTTCGACAGTAGTTTAGACCTATTTTCATTTCCGACTTATTGGCCCTTAGCATCACCGATGAGTCTTAGACGGACGAAACAGCTGTATGATGCAGTGCACTTAGATGTTGGCCTACTGTATTGATAACTTAATTTTAAATGTACAACTCATAAATGAGAAATACGTGAACTAACTGTATTATTTGTTCTACGTGTAACGCACTCAACTGTATTGATATGTGATTGAACGTCACACAAGTGACTTTATTGGATGACATTAGATAGAAAATTACGCAAGTGACTCGATTGTATCAAATTATATAGAAAGTACCACAAGTAACTAAACTGTATCAGATATTTTAAAACTTATCAAAGTGACACAAATGTTGGTAAAAAGTGCCTCCATTATTTTTATGATAAAAAAGGTGAAACAAGTGTCCCAACTATAACGCATGCTATGCAAGTTTTTCCAAGCGCTTCAACTGCGTTAAAGGTTGTAGACGTGCTGTAAGTTACTAGGGACCTCTCTAAACTGGGTAAGATTCTTTTTAAGGCTGAAATACAAAATTTAATTTAAAGTTTATTTTTTCAATAGATGCAATAAATAGTGGTATTGTTAATTCGTTGAAAGCCGATACAACCTGTACTATTTTTTTTTATAATCTACCGTTTCTTATATGAACTTGTAGTTCGATCTTTTTGTAGTTAGTACCTAGTCTTTTAAGGAGACACTCTTCAATCAAATCAGCGACCTTGACCCAATTTCATTGTTTTTTCGGTCGTAGAACAGCTGAAACCTGTTCTTTTAGGGAAACATACGACCAATGTTGGTCTATATCACATGATGCAACGAAATTGCATTAATCTTCTATCAAGGTTACCAGGATAATTTATACTGTAATGAAATTGACACATCGGGAAAACAATTAACGGCCATTAGTACCTTGTTCAGAATCATGTGTTCTTGAGAAGGTAGCGAGAGGTAAATGTGTATTATATTTGTGTACATACAAGACATTTCATATGCAGAAAGCATATTATCTATTAAGAGTGATATTTAGAATTACATTTCTATTACATACATCACAGGAAGCAATGTGATGAGGTTGCAAAATAAGTAACGACACCAGAAACAGATTAATTGTTGGCAGCATCCGTAGAAACATGTTCGTGTCAGACATTCAGCTGATTGATGCAACCTTTTCAGCTTATGCTTTATTGCTTTCTTCTTAACCTGCAGCAGAGTCAACTACTACTACCGAAAGTACTATCGTAAAAACAACTACACCAACTACTACCACACCAACTACTACTACACCCACTACTACAACCACACCAACTACTACTACTACCCCAACTACTACCACACCCACTACTACTACTACCCCAACTACTCCTACACCCCCTACTACCACACCAACTACTACAACATCAACTACTACTACACCAACTACTACTGCACCCACTACTACTACACCAACTACTACTACTACACCAACTACTACCACACCAACTACTACTACACCCACTTCTACAACCACACCAACTACTACTACTACCCCAACTACTACCACCCCCACTACTACTACTACCCCAACTACTCCTACACCCCCTACTACCACACCAACTACTACAACATCAACTACTACTACCCCAACTACTACTACACCCACTACTACTACACCAACTACTACTACCCCAACTACTCCTACACCCCCTACTACCACACCAACTACTACCACATCAACCACTACTACACCAACTACTACTACACCAACTTCTACCACACCAACTACTACTACACCAACTTCTACTACCACACCAACTACTACTACACCACCTTCTACTACCACACCAACTACTACTACACCACCTACTACTACACCACCTACTACTACCACACCAACTACTACTACACCCACTACTACCACACCCACTACTACTACTACTACTACCTCAACTACTCCTACACCCACTACTACCACACCAACTACTACTACACCCACTACTACTACACCAACTACTACTACCACACCAACTACTACTACACCAACTACTACCACAACCACTACTACTACTACCCCAACTACTCCTACACCCACTACTACCACAACAACTACTACTACACCAACTACTACTACACACACTACTACCACACCAACTACTACCACACCAACTACTACTACACCAACTACTACTACACCCACTACTACTACACCAACTACTACCACATCAACTACTACTTCACCAACTACTACCACACCAACTACTACTACTACCCCAACTACTCCTACACCCACTACTACTACACCAACTACTACCACATCAACTACTACTTCACCAACTACTACCACACCAACTACTACCACATCAACTACTTCTACACCAACTACTACTACACCAACTACTACTGCACCCACTACTACTACACCAACTACTACTACCCCAACTACTCCTACACCCACTACTACCACACCAACTACTACCACACTAACTACTACCACACCAACTACTACCACACCAACTACTACTACACCCACTACTACTACACCAACTACTACTACGACACCAACTACTACTACACCAACTACTACCACACCCACTACTACTACTACCCCAACTACTCCTACACCCACTACTACTACACCAACTACTACTACTTCACCAACTACTACAACACCAACTACTACCACATCAACTACTTCTACACCAACTACTACTACACCAACTACTACTGCACCCACTACTACACCAACTACTACTACACCAACTACTACTACCACTACACCAACTACTACTACACCAACTACCACTACACCCACTACTACTACACCAACTACTACCACACAAACTTCTACCACACCAACTACTACTACACCAACTACTACTACACCAACTTCTACCACACAAACTACTACCACACCAACTACTACTACACCCACTACTACTACACCCACTACTACCACACCCACTACTACTACTACCCCAACTACTCCTACACCCACTACTACTACACCCACTACTACTACACCAACTACTTCCACACCAACTACTACCACACCAACTACTACTACACCAACTACTACTACTACTACACCAACTACTACCACACCAACTACCCAACTACTTCCACATACTACACCAACTACTACTACACCAACTACTACCACACCCACTACTACTACTACCCCAACTACTCCTACACCCACTACTACTACACCAACTACTACCACCCCAACTACCACTACACCCACTACTACTACACCAACTACCACCACACCAACTACTACTACACCAACTACTACTACCCCCACTACTACTACACCAACTACTACTACTACTACACCAACTACTCCTACACCAACTACTACCACACCAACTACTACTACCCCCACTACTACCACACCAACTACTACCACACCAAATCCTACCACACCAACTACTACCACACCAACTACAACAACACCAACTACAACAACACCAACTACAACAACACCAACACCAACTACTACCACACCAACTACTACAACACCACCTACAACAAGACCAACTACAACAACACCAACCACAACAACAGCAACTACTACCACACCAACTACTACCACACCAACTATTACCACACCAACTACTACAACACCAACTACAACAACACCAACTACAACAACACCAACTACTACCACACCAACTACTACCACACCAACTACTACCACACCAACTACTACCACACCCACTACTACTACCACATCAACTACTACCACACCAACTACTACCACACCAACTACAACAACACCAACTACAA